CCTCCCTTTTAGATTGTAAGCCCTCAGGGGTAGGGCCCTCCTTACCGTCTTGTATTGTAATTGTAATGTCTTCCTTATATTGTAAAGCGCTGCGCAAACTGTTAGCGCTATATAAATCCTGTATAATAATTATTATTATTTGGCTAAATGCTTTTATGTAGAGTTTGACTGATTTATTAAAATTTCCTTCCTCTTTAAGAGGCTAGAACTTTAATTTGATGACACACTTGTTTTTTATCTACTGCACATGTGCAAGGATTAGGACATTCTGGATAAGCAATTTCTGGTTCCTAGACCTCCTGAGTCCACTTCCAAATCTTTGGACCCTTTAGACGTCGTTGGCAATTAAAAAGTCCGCTTTAGCATGAAGGTCTGCTCCTGGCCCTTTCTACAGGTGAAACTCGAATAATTAGAATATCGTGCAAAGTTCATTTATTTCACTAATGCAACTTAAAAGGTGAAACTAATATATGAGATAGACTCATTACATGCAAAGCAAGATAATTCAAGCCGTGATTTGTCATAATTGTGATGATTTATGGCTTACAGCTCATGAAAACCCCAAGAACCCCAAATCCACAACCTCAAAAAAGTAGATTATTACATGCAATCAATAAAACAAGGATTGTACATAGAACAATATCGGACCTCTGAAAAGTACAAGCATGCATATGTACTCAGTACTTGGTTTGGGCCCCTTTTGCAGCACTTACTGCAATTACTTTTGCACGATATTCTAATTATTCGAGTTTCACCTGTATATATGGTGGTGAGATGCCTGTTGGAATTTGCGGAATCATGGGAAACTCAAATTTCGGAATACGTTTTTATCTTCCTCCGCCTAGGTTCTTTGCGTTCCGGCTACCCATGTTTCGGCAGCGTTGGTTGAACCTTCTTTGAGCAGTACAAGATCTGTTGTATCCGGGTGTTTATTATGCCCATTCCTTTAGCAGAAAATTTTCAGGGTTTTTACTCAAACCTGTGTTACTTTTCCCAAACCCAACGGAAGCCTTCTTCCGATTCTGGATTTGAAAGGACTCCACACGTTTGTACATAACCAACCAAATGGATTGCATCCAAAATTTGTGAGTATCGCCTGTCTTAATGTGGACATGCACTGTGGGAATTTTGGCCGGTTATTAATGAACCGAACAAAATTCGCACAGTGGGTGCCACAGTCGGCAGCCATCCCTATATAAGCTGATAGAAGGAGGCGGTCAGAACAGAGCGGGCAGCCAATGAAGGAAACCTTCACTATCAATTTGTGGCTCTTCCCTTTGGGTTGGCTTCGGCTCCAAGGGTTTTTACAAAAGTACTTGCTCCGATTATGGGAATTCTACATTGCATGGGCATTCTGATTATCGGATACCCGCACGACCTTTTACTCTAGTAGAGTCTCGTCCTACTTTGGAACTCAATGTCTAGACGCTGCTACACATTAAGGACTTTGGGTGGATTCTGAACACCGAGAAGTCATCATCTATTGCTGGACCGGATGTCTCTGTCACGGTGGTTGACGTCCCCTGCGTTGACCATGGGAAAATAGTTTTTTTCCCCCCATAACTTGCAAGATTGTCACGACAAATGCCAGTCTTGTGGGCTGGGGCGGTCTCTTGCATCCTCTGTCTGTGCAGGGTTGTTGGTATCTAGAGGAATCCAAGCTTCCATTTTATGTCCTGGACTTGAGAGTGATATGTGTGGCGTTGTTTCACTGGACCTGTCTTCTGTCTGGGTATCTGTTTTCGGATTCAGTCAGACAATGCTATGGCACACATTAATTACCTGGAAGGCACCATGAGTGTGTCTAAGACAATGGATCTACATTTGATCTTGGATTGGGAACTTCAGGTTCCAGCGATTTTCAGCGGTGCACATTCTAGAAATAGAAAACTGGCAGGCGGACTTTCTCAGTAGACAACGTTTGAATCCAGGCGAATGATCTCTCCATCGAGAGGTGTTTCCATAACTTTGTCACCACTGGAGAACGCCGTATGTGGATCTTCTGGCTTCTCGTCACAACACGAACGTGAATAGATTGTGTCCAGAGCGATGTATCCAACAGCGGATGTGATGGATGCCTTAGTAGCTCTGTGGGATCAGTACACAACCGTTTATGTTTTGCCTTGTCTGTTTCGCAAGAGAGTACATAAGGGAATTTGAGTAATTCTCATTCCTCCAGATTGGCCTTGCAGGGTGTGGTATGCCAATTTGGTTTATCTGTTGGCAGACGATGCCTGGCTTCTCTTAGATATTTCAGATCTGTTATCTAAGGGCCCATTCTTCCACCCTGCTTCTTGCTTGTTGGCTGTAACTGCCTGGTTTTGAAAGACAAAGGAATTTCAGATTATTGACTGTACGTGGAAGATTTGCTTTTGTTGGCGTGAGTCCTTGTGGTTTTCCTAAAATGCTTTTACTATATTATGAATGTTCTCTTTCCTTCAACTTGGGGTAGATAGAGCTAGATGCCAAAGTATAAAGGGCGAAATATCTGCCTTGTCGGTCCTTTTTCAACATCCGCTTGCTTCTAATGCCTTGATTTTTACTTTTATTCAGGTAGTTCACGTGTGGCTCCTCCTGTTAAGTCTCCTCTTCCTCTGTGCTATTTAAACTTGGCTTTATCTGTTCTACAAAAACCTCCTTTTGAACCTATCAGAGTCATTCCTTTTTCTTTGTTGTTGAAAAAGGTTGCCTTTCCTTTTATTATGCTGGCTGTGTGTTACTTTTTACAGTTTGATATGAATGATTTCAGAGTTACTTTATATTAATGAGATGCACAGAGTGATCGCTTGTACTGAAGGGCGGAGTGCGCTAACACCCTCCCCCCCTGCTGTCTCCCCTGTCCGCTGTGTGGGCCCGGGACTGGCACGACGGGTCTCCCTGCACGATCAGGGAGAGATCAGAAGGCTTCTAGCTACTTCCAGTGTCATTGTTTACATTCTCTGGCTCTTAGAGCCAGGAGAAGCAGATCTCCGCTTCATCAGCTTCTTTGGGGTCCCTAGGTGACATTAGGGGTCTGAAAGACCCCTAATGTCTCTATAAAGAGGACCTGTCACACCCTATTTGCTATTACAAATATAGCCCCCTATGTGATAGCAATAACGTTAAAAAAAGTGTTTAAAAATGCAAAAAAATAAAGTAACATATGAAAAAAACATTTTATGGGGGGGGGGGGGATTGTTGGCCCCCTATGTGATAGCAATAGTTAGTATAAAAAAAGTGTTTAAAAAATAAAAAAAAATGAAAGTAACATTAAAAAATGCAAAACATTTGTTTGTTTAGCCCCCATGCACATACATATGCAAACATGCGTTGGTGCGCCTACGTGCAAAAACAAAAATTGCGCTACACATGTTGCATATTACCGCGAACATTGGAGTGAGAGCAATAATTCTAGGGCCATCAATCACTGTTAGCACTAAACTGATGAGCGGTAAAAGTTTTTAAAGTGTCCCCCATGGGAAATTTTGGGTATTGTAGTTTTTGCGGCTTCATGGGCAAATGCAATTTTAGGGCTTGACATGTTTGATATCTTACTTACTGGACGTACCTCCATCTTTTATATTTTACAAAAAAAATGGATATTATATTCTGTTTCTGTGCACTGAATTTAATTTTAGTGTACTTTATCCTAAAAATATTGGTTTGATAAACATTTGCACAAATAAAATGTTCCATAAGGGCTCGTTCACAGGATAGTGGTGACTGGGGTGACTGACATTTTCAGCAGATGAGCAATGCCAGTCACCCCTCTCGCTCCTAGAAAAAAATAGTTTGCTATGTGCCCCATTCACACTATAATGAAATCTAAAATGATAGGGATGGATATTCTGTATATAAATATGGGGTCATGACCCACCGCCCGGCTTCCTGATTGGAGGGAGCATGAAGCTGGCTTCCTGATTGGCTGAGAAGTGGGGCCCATGCTACCTCGGGATGCCGGTATCGGTAAAAAGAAAAAAAAATGTCGCTACTCGATACCAAAAAAACAGTATTGGTGCATCCCTATATACAACCCTTGCTTACTCCATTGAAAACTAAAAAAACTACTTTTGGCTATACCTACACTCTAATGAATGGAATGACATGGAAGAATACATTATACCTTTTTATATGAATTTAATGCAAGAAAAAGGGAAAAAAAACCCCCACAACAAATATGTTTGAAAATGCATGTTACATAATTCAAATATTTAAAATGTGACATATTTCACCAGAAAAAAATTCAAAGAAATTTCTGTGTGTGAATGTAAGGGGGGTGAATATTTTGGTTTGTGAATGTCAGTATAGTGTGTGTGGGAATGTATTTTGTGTGTGAATGTAATCTATGTGTGTGAGGGAATCTAAGTATAGTGTGCCTGGGAATTTCTGTTTTTTTTTGAGAATGTAAGTATGTGTGTTATTTTTGTTCCCCAGTTTGTGAGTGTATTTTTTTTGTTCGTCTGGGAATTTAATTTTTCCATATGTGTGAGAATGTAATTTTTTGTTTTGTGAGACACTTTAAAAAAAAAAATGGGAATGTAAATACTTTGTGTGTGGGGATTTAAGGATTATGTATTTTTTGTGATCTTGTGTTTTTACACTTGTTTTGCTTTTACACTTAAAGAAGTGATTTATTTATTCATGCCCTATGCTTTTGTACAATAGTTTACTTCGGAATAGTTTCTTTAATAAGTACTTAAAGACCTGTCTGAACTTGAGCTTGGCCGACTCATTCGTAGTGCTTCTAGTTAAACAAGCCCACAAGCGTATGCCACTACTACCCCGGCCTTCATCCAATAGGTAAAAGTTGTCCCTCCTGATACTTGGGACTCCGTGTAGCCGTTTGTCTGAGAGCAATACTTCGTTTGCCCTGACTAAAGATGGCGTCAGCATGCCAGTCGAATGCCTTCGCAAAGGAACGCTGAACGATTGCCAGTAGGCAAAATGGCGACCGAAGCGTTACGAACGTGATGGATGCCAGCTGCGCCGTAACCTTTACCCTGTTGGCAAGGGGCGTGGCCATGGTCTCCAGCACGCCGCCATATTGGCTGTTGTCCTGTCCAAAGCGTCCAGGTCTGGGCTGTTGACTTTGGGGGGGTTATTTTTGGCGTCGGGGCCGGCTGTGTGAATTCGAGGAGTCGTCTAGAGGAGCGAGAAATGACCAGGAGGAGGAACAAGCAAGGAAGCACCCGCAGGGAGCGCACAGTGGGCCAGCAGAGGCCGGGGAAAGGCTCCCCTGCTTCTGATGGAGCAGATACAGATGCCAGAGAGAGGATGGAAGATGTGGGAAAAGGAGGACAGGTAATGTGCCACACCCCCTACATACCTATCATTGTCACTGTATGTACACCCCACTTTCCAATGAAGTTACACACCCCTTCCTACATACCCTGCACCCCACATAGTACACCTGTCATTATCACTGTATCTACACACCCCTTCCTACATACCCTGCACCCCACATAGTACTCCTATCATTGTCACTCTATATACACACCCCTTCCTACATACCCTGCACCCCACATAGTACTCCTATCATTGTCACTGTATATACACACCCCTCCTACATACCCTGCACCCCACATAGCAAACCTATCATTGTCACTCTATATACACACCCCTTCCTACATACCCTGCACCCCACATAGTACTCCTATCATTGTCACTGTATATACACACCCCTCCTACATACCCTGCTCCCCACATAGCAAACCTATAATTGTCACTCTATATACACACACCCCTTCCTACATACCCTGCACCCCACATAGTACTCTTATCATTGTCACTGTATATACACACACCCCTCCTACATACCCTGCACCCCACATAGCAAACCTATCATTGTCCTTGTATATACACACCCCTTCCAACATACCCTGCACCCCACATAGTACACCTGTCATTATCACTGTAATAAAGCACCTATCATTGTCACTGTATATACACCCCCCCTCCTAAATACCCTTCACCCCCAATAATGCACATATCATTGTCACTGTATATACACACCCCCTCCTACATACCCTGCCCAAATGCCCATCATTGTCACTGTATGTATGCCCCACTATTGAAAGGGGATACCCACCGCCTCCTACATACCCTGCATCCCACATAGTTCTATTTTCACATGTATACCTGTCATTCTCATTCTATATACACCCCACTACCTGTTGCATGCATCCATAGAGGATACAGCACCTCTTAACTCTACCCTGCACCCTACATAGTACACTTCTCACCTGCATATCTATTATTATCAGTGTACATTCACCCCACTACCTGCTGTGTACATCTGTGGGGATACACACACGCACTACCCTGCACCCCGCATAGTACACCCATCGTTGTCACTACTTGTTGTGTACATCAAATGGGAATACACACTTTTCTTGCACCCTTATAGTACCCCTTTCACATAAATACCTTTCATTCTCAGTGAGGGGAATTGTTCAAAACTGGAGCAGTTACCCATGGCACCCAATCAGCTTCTCTCTTTAGTTTGTTCAGTTAAGCTTTTGACAATGAGAGAGAGAAGCTGATTGGTTGCCATGCACAGCTGCTCCAGATTTTGTCTGTTCCAGTTTTGATAAACACCCCACTACCTACTGTTTGGTGATGCACTCCTCCTTCTTCTGCATCCCGCATAGTAACCTTCTTGCATGCATACCTTTTCATCCTCTGTGTATATACCTCTTGTTCCCCAATGGGCACATCCATAGGGGATGCACACCCCCTCTTATCTATCATTCTCAGTGTATATACACCCCACAAGTGCTGTGTGGATCAAGTAGGGATGTACATACCCTTCACAATACCCCTCCCACTATATGTAGCAGCACCTCCTGAATGTCACACTGTTAGTGCCCACAGATCCAAGTTATAGTGACATACCACATCGACATACTTCCTATACAGCTAATGAAATCCTCAACATGTTTGTGACTTTTTATAAAACATTTATGTTTGTGGCTTTTCTATTAAGGAAACTAGAGTACTAGTCCATTATCTAGTATTATGTTCTAACCCAGGAGACTTGAATACATCTTCAGTAATCGGCAAGTAGGCATTATCATATTCGTCTACAAAGGAAGCATTTTTAGGAGGCAAGCATTTGATCTTTTTCAGAGCATGTTGATATGAGAATGTGTCCTCTGGTTTCCTGTTGTCACCTTCTCCCTCCAGACATCCCTAGAGAGATTTTGTGCTGTCTACTTCTCGCTCACCTCTTTGAATATCCTCTCCAGCACTGGACATAATGTGGATTGTGTGTTTACACTGTCTGCTGTTCATTGAAACCGTAGGGCTCTTCTTGCTTCTAACCCATGGGCTGTAAGTGCAAATGAATGACCCCCTGCTATTATCACTGTACAGAAACAGTGCCCTGAACAAAGCATGGGCTTGCATCTCTTTTCACAGACTGTTAGGACCTTTTCACGTGACCATTCTGTCAGTCCATCCATGGTTACCTGGATCAAAAACAGACTGCAGTACTTGTCTATGGGCAGGCAGATGTAAGCGGACATGCGTCTGCCTATATCTGTCCACTTCCAGGTCAGTTTAGGTTCATAGGATCAAACACAAAAGGTTCCTTTTTACTAACCTGACCAGATGTGGGCAGATATAGGCAGACGCGCATCTGTTTTATATCTGGCCACTTATAGTGATTACATGGATCCATCTTTCCCAAGATGGAGGTAATGGACATGGATGTAACATATGTGACATCTGTTTATTCTGATCCGATTCACTGAGATGGAACTTGTAGTTCTTGTGTGAAAAGGGCCTTAGTGTTTGCAGTTCTTCAGCGAAAATCTAATATGAAATTGAAGTGAATCTAAAATCAAACTTATTTTTTTCATTGTGGATGGACTAGGGCAGTAGTGGCGAACCTTGGCACTCCAGCTGTGCCAAAACTACAAATCCCAACATGCATCTGCCTCTGGGAGTTATGTCTGTGGCTGTCAGAGCCTTGCAATGCCTCATGGGACTTGTAGTTCCAAAACAGCTGGAGTGCCAAGGTTCGCCACCACTGGGCTAAGGAATGGTCTGAGCAACTGATATATAGAGATATATTACACATATACATATATACATATATATTATATATAGTCATGGCTAAAAATATTGGCACCCCGGTTTTTCAGATAATGCACCACTTCACGCAGAAAATTGTTGCAATTACCAATGTTTAGGCATTCTCATGTTAATTTCTTTTGTTTGTATCAGTATGACACAAAAAAGTGGAGAAGAAAAAGCCAAACCTGATACATTCCACGCAAAACTCCAAAAAATGTACTGGAAAAAATTATTGCAGGGGTGCCAATATGTGTGTGTTAGATATATTATGTGTTAGAGCTAATATGTCAATATTTTGTGTGGCCACCATTATTTTCCAGCACTACCTTAACCCTCTTGGCCATGGAGTTCTCCAGACCTTCACAGGTTGCCACTGGAGTCCTCTTCCACTCCTCCATGATGACATCACGGAGCTGGTGGATGTTAGAGACCTTGCGCTCCTCCACCTTCTGTTTGAGGATGCCCCACAGATGCTCAATAGGGTTTAGGTCTGGAGACATGCTTGGCCAGTCCATCACCTTTACCCTCAGCTTCTTTAGCAAGGCAGTGGTCGTCTTGGAGGTGTGTTTGGGGTCGTTATGTTGGAATACTGCCATGCGGCCCAGTCTCCGAAGGGAGGGGATCATGCTCTGCTTCAGTATGTCACAGTACATGTTGGCATTCATGGTTCCCTCAATGAACTGTAGCTCCCCAGTGCCGGCAGCACTCATGCAGCCCCAGACCATGACACTCCCACCACCATGCTTTACTGTAGGCAAGACACACTTGTCTTTGTACT